CTAGGATTACAGGCGTGAGCCATTGGCACCCGGCCAGACTTACGCTTTTGTTTTTTTGTTTTTGTTTTTTTGCTTTTGTCGGTTGTGGGGCCTGAACTCTGGACCTGGGCACTGTCCCTCAGCTCTTCAGCTCAAGGCTAGCGCTCTACCACTTGAGCCACAGCACCACTTCTGGCTTTTTTTCTGCTCATGTGGTGCTGAGGAATTGAACCCAGGGCCTCATGCATGCAAGGCAAGCACTCTATCACTAAGCAACCTTCCCAGCCTGCTTTTATTGGGTTTTAACGAGATCCAAATTCTCTGCTAAAGTTTAGTACGTCTGAGGGCTGTGAGGATTTTCTATAGACTACTTTCAAATCCTGTTTCCTATCTTTGTGTACCAACTTGTGATTCTGGGCTCTAATATAATTTATATGGCCCTACACTCTCAGTCACATGGAGGGTACTCAGCTTAGTGGGTGGGTAGGTGCATTTCTGAAAGCCACTCCTACACTGGGATGGACAGCAATGACAGCAGTGACTATGGACTATACAAACACAGTTCTTTACACCTAAGTTAAACACACACTAAACTAACTCTGCCTTGGCTGTGTCCTCAACAAGGTGTGATGCAGACCTGGAATGGAAAGAGAATCAGTCTTGAAGGGTTACAGTTAAATAACATTTCTGCAAATTTTAAAGAAACACCTGCCCATTTCCAAGGTGCTACCAAAGGTATTTCCTAGCCTTTTGCTTGAGTTGTCACTGCGACATCCCCTGAGAGCTACACTGTAGTTTGAACCTGTCTCTGCTATGCCCGACTATATGACCTTGAGCAGTTTGCTTTCTTTCTGGACCATTTCCTTCTCACACAAGAGGGAAAACTAATTGCCCTATGAGGTTTCTTAAGGAGCAAAGAGACCTATAAAATGTCCAGCAAAAACCTGAACCTTATTGGTAACCTTACAATAGAGATCATTTATTAGTATTTGATATGATCCAAGATTTGTTAGTATTTATTCTGGAGCTCAAGGGAGGAGGCCAGCTTTGCTTCTCTATACTCTAGTATGATTTTTCTCAGGTTCTGGCTATTGGCTGTAGCTACTGAACGCTGTTTGGTTCCAAGCTGGAACGTATTCACTCTGGCCTAAAGGTGAGTTGATGTGGGGGGAAAAAAAAAGTTGATAACACCCAATATTTATAAGCACTTATTGTAGGCTCAATAGGTGCATCATCTCATTTACTTCTTACAGTACTCTACAGTGCAGGTACTTTGTCAGCACTTCCAAGGGTTTATATAATTTCTGTACGGATCTGTAGCTTGTAAGTGGATGGTTCACAATGGCATTGAAAACTCAGGCGAAAGGACAGCCTTTCCCCATGGGATTATGAGCCCTGTCTCTGCCTTGTGCCTTTCAGGAACCAGATGTTTGCCTTCGGGACCCTGAGCCTTGGGGCCCGGGAGCCCCACCCCCTGCGCCCGCTGGCCCCGCCCAATGTAAATCAAGCCCCGCCCCCACACCGCTCCCTATAAAGCTCACACCCCGCAAGCCCCCAACGTCTCAGATTCCGCGCGCTCCGCCCCGCTTCGTCTTCCAACGGCTGCTCCCTCCGGTGGGCCTCACCTCAGACCCCCCGGGCTGGACCTAGGCTGGGGCGGGCCGAGGGCAGGAGGCGGGCCGCGATGGGGACTGCGGCCGCCCACACCTCCGCGCGCACCCGCCTGGCCGCTTACCGGCCGCTCGGGTCCAGGCGCGAGCTCGACCTGAGGAAGACGCCGGCCGGAGGGTCCCCGGACGGGGCGCCCCGGCGCGCACGCAGGGGGATGGCCCCGCTAACCTCGTTGTCCGTGAGGAACCCCCGATGTCCAGTCCTAGGCTGGCGCCCGACCCACCTCATACCCTCCTTTCCCTCAGCACCCCGGTTCCTCCCCTGCGGCCTCCCCGTCCCCCTCACCATCGGTACCCCCATCCTAGCTGCCCTGGAGGTGTCCCTTCTCCTCCGCGCCCCCTCATCCCTGCCTCGAAGCCCGCTTCCCCACGTGCCTCACTCCCCCCCGGGCCCCCACACGTCAGCGCCTGCCCCGCCGCCGCCGCCACCACCACCGTGCCTCCACGGCAGCCTCAGCGCCTGCGCCCCGCCCCTCCCCGCCACACCTCAACGGCCGCCCCTGCGCCCCGCCTCCGCCACGCCTCAGCGCCTGCGCCCCGCCCCTCCCCGCCACACCTCAACGGCCGCCCCTGCGCCCCGCCTCAGCGCCTGCGCCCCGCCCCACCACGCCTCAGCGCCTGCGCCCCGCCTCCACCACGCCTCAGCGCCTGCGCCCCGCCCCGCCACGCCTCAGCGCCTGCGCCCCGCCTCCACCACGCCTCAGCGCCTGCGCCCCGCCTCCACCACGCCTCAGCGCCTGCGCCCCGCCCCGCCACGCCTCAGCGCCTGCGCCCCGCCCCGCCACGCCTCAGCGCCTGCGCCCCGCCTCCACCACGCCTCAGCGCCTGCGCCCCGCCCCACCACGCCTCAGCGCCTGCGCCCCGCCCCGCCACGCCTCAGCGCCTGCGCCCCGCCCCGCCACGCCTCAGCGCCTGCGCCCCGCCTCCACCACGCCTCAGCGCCTGCGCCCCGCCCCACCACGCCTCAGCGCCTGCGCCCCGCCTCTCCCCGCCACACCTCAACGGCCGCCCCTGCGCCCCGCCTCCGCCACGCCTCAGCGCCTGCGCCCCGCCCCTCCCCGCCTCACCTCAACGGCCGCCCCTGCGCCCCGCCTCCGCCACGCCTCAGCGCCTGCGCCCCGCCCCTCCCCGCCTCATCTCAACGGCCGCCCCTGCGCCCCGCCTCCGCCACGCCTCAGCGCCTGCGCCCCGCCTCCGCCACGCCTCAGCGCCTGCGCCACGCCTCCACCACGCCTCAGCGCCTGCGCCCCGCCTCCACCACGCCTCAGCGCCTGCGCCCCGCCCCACCCCACCACATCTCAACGGCCGCCCCTGCGCCCCGCCTCCACCACGCCTCAGAGCCTGCGCCCCGCCCCGCCACGCCTCAGAGCCTGCGCCCCGCCCCTCCCCTCCTCAACGGCCGCCCTTGGCCCCGCCCCTTCACAACGAGACACACACACTCTCTCTCTCTCTCTCTCTCTCTCTCCCTCCCTCCCTCCCTCCCTCCCTCCCTCCCTCCCTCCCTCACTGGAATGCCCGCCCTATTTCCTCGCCCTGCCCCGCCCCTTTCCCCCTCCCACTCTCAGCTCCTGCCCCTCCCACCGCCCTTCTGAGAAAGGGGCCTGGTTCCTACTTAGCTTGAAATAAAAAGTGACCTTCCAAGGCCTTTGCTGTACTGAGGATCTAGGGAAATCATATGCTCCAAAGTATCAATGTTTCCAAAAGTGCTAAGTCATAGGGTTACTGGAGTTTTTAGTCATTGTAAAGACCTCACACATCTGCAAGACATTTTTAAAGATATCTTAGAATTTATTCCAATTAACCAAAATACACTCACAAAAAGTGCAGTCAACACAAAACATAAGCCATAAATATCATAATCTAGCTGTCTTACGGGAGAATGTGGTTTGTAAATTGCTTAAAGTTTAGGCACGATGCTTTTTATTCTTGCGGTGGAAATGGGCATCGATCAAAATTCACCTAAGTTTTTAATTCTGTGGCTAACTTTGTATTCTTATTAGCCCAATGTTCTTATTTATGGAAACTTTACAAAAGCTACCATTGTGGCAGTTTAAGATTGCCTGTATGTAAGCATTAATTCTTCTCCGGGAGTCAAGCAACTTTGTTATAATCTCTCTCCTAAATATTGCCTTTGTGGAAGTGGCACTGTGGCTCAAGTGGTAGAGCGTTGGGCCTTGAGCTGAAGAGTTCAGGGACAGCACCCAGGCCCAGAGTTCAAGCCCACAACCAACAAAAAAAAAATAAAATTCCTTTGCAACTGAATGTTATACTGTTCTCAATAGTATAGTTTCCAGAAATGTACACAAAATCCTCATTATGATTTACATGAAGATGTTCTTTTATTATTTTTATTTCAAAGTTTAAGTGTTTCATTTCTTGCTTCTGATTTCTATTGTCTCCTTTGTTTTTCACTTTATGGTCTTTTGTAATTCTGTTATTTCAAAAATCAATATATTGTTGACAAACCAGAGCATCTGGAAGAGAACAATGAATTTCAACACCTGGATGTAAATAAGTGATACAATACTTCAAAAAATTCTTAAGTTTTAGAAAGGAAATTACCTGTTTCTTAGTTTTGCCCAGCTTTTCCTTCTTTACTGTTTTTTAATTTTTTTTAAGTTTTATTTAACTGTGCTAGCAACAAGAGAATTCAAATACTTTTTGGATAAAATAAAATCTTTATTGCATAAAAGAAGAAATCATTTAGTAGTATGCATTTAAACCAGATGTGGCTGACAGTCTATTAGAGCTCTGTTATTTATCATTTTATATTGGAAATGGTTTTTTTGTTTTTCGTTACTGTACAAAAGGGTTAAAATTACATAAATCAGGTAAAGAGTACATTTCTTTTTGGACAATTCCCTTGCTCTCTCCCTACCATCCCTGCCCACAAATTGTAAAATTTATTTTCAACATAGTGTCTAGTGAGTACCATTGCTGTATTTGTTCACCCTTTGTTGAGATAGATTTTTGTTTTTGTTGTGGGGTTTGAACTCAGGGCCTAGGCACTATCTCTGAGCTCTTTTGCTCATGGCTAGCACTCTACCACCTTGAGCCATAGCTCCATTTCCAGTTTTTGAGTGGTTAATTGGAGATAAGAGTCTCTCAGAGACTTTTATGCCTTGGTGGGCTTCTAACCATAATCCTCAGATCTCAGCCTTCTGAGTAGCTAGGGTTATGGGCATTAGCATTGAGCTAAAAGGTAATCTGAGTGTTGTAGAATTAATGATATGGTTTTGCTAGCTGTAAAATATAAAATGAAAATAGCTGGAATGTTTTGCTTATCAAATTTTAAGCATCTTTTTATGTTCTCCCCAGTTGTTTAAATATAAACTAAGGAATACAGGCAACATGTTCTACACTCATGTGCTTATGAGTAGACGTGGGCCATTGGCCAAAATATGGCTCGCAGCTCACTGGGAGAAGAAACTCACAAAGGCTCATGTATTCCAGTGCAATCTAGACATAAGCATTAAAAAAATTACTTCACCTAAGGTAGGTTACTGATTATAAATGTTAGTTTATATTTGTCATGATTTCTGGAGAGGAAGGGAATTAGAATGCATATATCATAAAATATATTTCCAGTACAATTTTTATATCTTTTTTCCTATTGCATTTAACAACTGAATATAAAGATAATTTCTGTGGATAATTATTTCATATATTTATCAAAAATAGATTGGATTCTGAAGGACAAAGGCCATGTATTTTATAATCCTTTTTTATTCCCTAACAAAATACTATGTAAAGAGTAGGTACCTAGTGAGTATTTACTAGGAAATGAATTAATGAATGAGAAAAGAAGAAAGAATTGATTATAACTAAAAGAGTAAAATATTATTATTATAAAACACTATAAAACAACTACTAGAATTTGCATTAAAATAATCTTAATATTTTTATTGGTTAAGTGTTTTTCAGATATTATCAAGTATAATTAAAAGTCTTATATATGTTAGACACTAGTCTAAACTTTATGTTTATTAATTTATTTAATTTCATCGGCCTATGAAATCTGCTCCTTTAGACTCATGAAGTATGATGGTTAGTAGGAACTTTTAAGCTGGTCAAATTTATGTTTAATCCTTACTTCATTACTTAACAGTTGCCTTTCTTTGTTCATATCACTTAACCTACCTGAGCCAGTGCTTTTTCTTCTGTAAATAGAAACAGAAATTAAATAATGTAGGCAAAAACTCTTTGGACAATGCTTGACACAATATAAGTATACAGTAAATTCTAGCTTTTTTTTTTTTTTTTGAGTATGTAAGTTGAACTCAGAGCCTGGGTGCTCATTCCTGAATTGTTTTGTTTTGTTTTGTTTGTTCAAGGCTAGCACGCTACCATTTTGAACTACAGATCCACTCCCAGTTTTTAGGTGGTTAATTGGAGATAAGAGTTTTAGGGCTTTTCCTGCCTGGGCTAGCTTTGAACCATAATCCACAGATCTCAGCCTGCTGAGTAGCAGGTGTGAGCCACCAGTGTCCAGCTAGCATTTTTATTAAACTAAAGTTCAAGAAGGTTAAGTGACTGCTTCAGTAATTGAGCTAATGCTTGAACTCAAGTTTGCCTGACTGAGTTTATCTTCTTCCCATAATACTAATAATAACATAGTCGGGCACCAGTGGCTCACACCTGCTCAATCCTAGCAACTCAGGATGCTGATATTAAGGACCAAGGTTCAAAGCCAGCCCAAGAAGGAAAGTCCTCAACACTCTTTTAACTACTAAAAAGCCAGACAGGGAACTGTGGCTCTAAGTGGTAGAGTGTTAGCCTTGATTATAAAAGTTCAGGGACAGCACCCAGGCCCTGAGTTCAAGCCCTAGGACTGGCACAAAAATAAAATAAATAATTGCTTATTTCACTTAAATGCTACATAAGGTTACCTTTGTTGAGTAGCCAAAAAAGTTAATTGTTCTACAAAGTGATGTAAAAGCTAAGTGGTTTACTTTAAGTGTACAAAATGCTTTTTAAAGAGAATAAATTCTTAGACTTTCAGAGTAGAACTTGTTAATCTAATTTTTTATTATTCTATTTAATTATTGAAAGGTGAAAATTGCACTTCGAACTTCAGGACATCTTCTTTTAGGAATTGTTAGGATCTATAATAGGAAGGCTAAGTATCTTCTGGCAGATTGCAATGAAGCATTTCTTAAAATGAAGATGACATTTCGACCAGGTATATGTTCAATATATATTTGTCTCTTCTTGGTTCCCATTTGTGTTTTTGTATGGGGTTGTCTCTTTCTGTGTAATTCTAGGTGAGTATAGAGATTCAGGAAATGTGCTGGACTCATACTGCAATACTACTTAAGAGGCTGTGATTGGGAGGCTGTGATGTGGTTCAAGGCTAGCCTGGGCAGAACAGCTCTTGAGACTCCCTTCTCAATCTTGAATCAGAACTGATCATTTTTGTGTTCTTTGTTTAGAATATTTTTGTAAAATCTCTAGTTAAACTTTTGCTCATAACCAAATATAGTATACTTGTTCATTAAGTATTTCATTTATATATTCCACAAATATTTTATTGATCTCATACTCTGTGTCAAATACGGTACATTCTAGGATATTAGGGCAAACAAGTAAGGTCCCTTTCAATCTGGTAAGATATCAAATAATGGAAATATTTTTAAAACTTATAATAATTATAGATTATTATTCTGAACATTGAAACAAAATAACAGACAAGTTCACTTTAGTGGGGATAGTTAAGAAAATAATTTAAATTTAAGCTTGAAAAATAGGAATTATCCAGCCATGTAAAAAGTCCCCAACATATGACATAATAGGAAGATTAAACTGAAAGAACAAGGTCTTGAGATGCAAAATGTTTGACTTTTTCAGGGAATGAAAATGCCAGGCTGAGAAGAAGTTGTCCTTAGATAATACTTATAGGTAGAAGTTAGAATTTTTTCCGGTTTATTTTGCTTTTCTTTTTTTTTATTATCTCTAAGTAGTTGTACAAAGAAGTTCCCATTCTACAAAACAGTATATGAATACAAGGTGTCTGACAATATTGTCACCCATTGCTCCTAACCCATCCCTTCTCTCACTTTTTTTAAAATTGAAAGTAGGTGATTACATAAATTTCACATATTTCACAGTATTGTGGAATAGTGATACTTAAAGTCACAAACACATTTTAACCTTCACAAGGCACATTGTCATTATCATGGTCTATACAGTTTGTGAATTCTATGAGCTTTGACAATACAAATTATTTTTTCTGGGGCTGGGAAGGTGGCTCAGTGGTAGAGCATTTGCTTTGCATGCATGAGGCCTTGGGTTCGATTCCTCAGCACCACATAAGCAAAAAGAAAAAAGCTGGAAGTGGTGCTGTGGTTCAAGTGGTAGAGCGCTAGCCTTGAGCTGAAGAGCTGAGGGACAGTGCCCAGGCTCAGAGTTCAGGCCCCAGGACCGGAACCCCCCCCCCCAAAAAATATTATTTTTTCTATATCAGGTGATGTTTACATTTCTTTCATTTTGCTTAGTGTAGGCTGTTTCCCCTTTCCCTCTCATTCCTCCTCTCCCATCTCTGTCTTTGGGTTGCTTAGTAGAAGTTAGCATATTTTTAATGTACTAGGTAAGTTGCTTAACCATTTTAAACATGTGAATTATCAGATGTGGAGGTGTGGCTCAGGTGGTAATTGTGAGCCTTGAACAAAAAAAGATAAGGGAAAGCCGGGCGCTGGTGGCTCACGCCTGTAATCCTAGCTACTCAGGAGGTTGAGATCTGAGGATCGCGGTTCAAAGCCAGCCCGGGCAGGAGAGACTGTGAGACTCCTATCTCCAATAAACCGCCAGAAAACCGGAAGTGGCGCTGTAGCTCAAGTGGTAGAGCGCTCGCCTTGAGCTGAAGAGCTGAGGGACAGCGCCTAGGCCCAGAGTTCAAGCCCCACGACCAACAACAACAAAAAAAAAGATAAGGGAAAGCCATGAGGCTCTGAGTTCAAGACTGAAAAAAAGAAAAGAAAACCACAGGAATTAACTAAGTGGTTGCTTTTGAAAACTATTACCATTAGTTGCTTTATAGAAAATGGACTGCAGAGAGGCAAGAGTGGGTTCAGGGAAACCAGTAAAGAGATTAAGCAACAGTCTAATGAGAGGGTAAAGGTTCAGTTTTATTTTGCATCATTGCTTATTGAATGTGTTTTTTTTCATATTCTTTTCAGGACTGGTTGATCTCCCAAAAGGGAATTTTGAAGCAGCTTACAATACTATCACATTGCAAGAGGAATTTCATGATTTTGACACCTTTAATATAGAGTAAATTATTTTCCTATTGATTTTCTTGATATTTCACTGTTTTTATATTCAGATCTTGTGAAAGCAAATATAATGTAGGTAATACCTGAGTAAGTACACATATAGCTGACACAAAATTTGTGTGAAATTTCCAAGTTTAGCAGACAAAATGTATCACTATATTTAATGTTTTTGCAATGCTGACAGTATATTCATCATTCATTCATTCATTGGATGGCTTTCCTATGCCAGACACTGTTCTAGGCATTGGTAAGATAACAGTGAATAAAAAAACAACTCCTGGCTTCATGGAGTTTACATTTTATCTGGAGTAGACTTGACAAAAACCAAACAATAAGTTTGGGGCTGGGAATGTGGCTTAGTGGTAGAGTGCTTACCTAGCATGAATGAAGTCCTGGATTCGATTCCTCAGTACCATATAAACAGAAAAAGCCAGAAGTAGCATTGTGGCTCAAGTGGTAGAGTGCTAGCTTTGAGCACAAAGAAACTCTGGGACAGTGTACAGGGCCTGAGTTCAAGCTCCAGGACTGGCAAAAACAAACAAGTCAATATAAAATATTCTAGGAGATGCTCAGATTTCAAATATGAAGAAAAGTTAGAAGTAACTAATGACTAATGGGATGGTTTTGAAAAGACCTGCTGATAAAGTAAGAACAGAAACCTGAAGGCGCTAAAGCACTCTGGACATTTTTCAAGGAAAAGCAAAGAGGCAAGTGAGATTGGAGTGTGAACTCATGAGGGAATGAGGTCAGAGAAGTGCCAATGTAGTATGTTGTAAGCTACAATAGGACTTTTATTTTACTCAGAGAAGAAGCACAGGCAGGTTTTGAATAGAGAATAGAAGAGTGGCTAGATCTGACTTAAGTTTAACGTGCTCCCTCTGGCTGCTGACTAAGTGGGGAAAGGAAGCAGAGAAGCCTAAATGATTATTTTAGTAAGAAGACCAACTGAGAGAAGATAGTTTTTGTGATCAGTTCCCAGCTTCATCTTAGCAAGGTGGTAGCAGTCAAATTATAAATATGTGTGGAAGGCAGGATTTGCAAATGAATTGGATATAACTCTTAAGAGAAAGAAATGAAGGGTAACTATGATTTTGAGCATTAAAATGGCTTTACTACTTAATGAAATTAGGATAACTAGGGAGTGACAAATTTAAGAAAGGGAGAGAAAAGGAATGTAACCTAATTGCAACCTAATCCCCAAGGCGATGGCACTAAAAAGTGGATACTAGATTGTGAAAACCTTCATGGATAGGATCAATACCCTTATAAAAGCAGCCTGAAGAATCTTCCTTGCACTTTCTACCACCTGAGAATACAGCCATGTCTAGGATGTGTCACTAAACACTGAATTTGTGGACTGCCTAACATCCAGAAATGTGTAATAAATTTCTGTTGTTTATAAATTACCCAATGTAATGTAATTTGTTATAGTATCACCAAAGGCTGAGGAAGACCAAAATCAAGGTGCTAGCCTATCTTGTATCTGGTGAAGGTATGGGTATGCTTCCAGGGTCATAGAAGCAGTCTTCTCACTGTAGCCTCATTAGATGAAAAGTACAGGACAGCAGTCTAATCTCATGCATGAATTCAGAGCTGTCATGACATAGGCACCTCTCAAAGACCTCACCACCTACCAAAATACCTTTAATTCTCATGTTTCTTCTTGTGTATAACAAATGTGAGTTAGAAAATAATTTAAAAATTTTAAAATTGCTTCAGTAGGAGAAGGAAATATTACTACATTAAATGTAGTAATATTTGTACATTGAATGTACAAATTGATTATGAAACAAAAACTAGTTTGGAGGTGACACAAGCATTCAAACATAGCAGGAGTGAGCAACTCTTCTAAATGCTGTTGATTGATAATACAAGGTCTAAGAACAAATACTGGGTTTGACAACCTAGAAATTATTTGTACATATTATAAATTAGAAGTTTGTTGTATTTATAAATAATACTACTCATAAAATCTCCTATATTTTACAATAAACCTGACTTTTGTTTTAGAATTTTTTAAGTATGCTATAAAAGTATTGTGTTCTGTTCATATGTTTTCCTCAAACTTATATTTCTCTAGCACTATTGATGTTTCAGAATACTTTACTCAGAACCAGAGCAGACCAGAAGAAATTACACTTAAAGAAGACTATGGTAATTATCTAGTTTTTCAAGCTGTGAGCTTTGGTGAGACTATTTGAGAAATCAGAATTGCAAATCCTAATCAGTTATATTTGCATTTATATACTAAAACAATGCCAGTAGAAGTCTCTATACAATGAAAATTTTTATGTATAACTGTAGTTTCCAATAAAAAACTTCCTTGATTTTTTTAAAAATGAATTTTAATGCCAAGACACTCTTAAATGCTTAGCCATGCCTCAAGCATTTTTCTTTGCTGGTAATTTGTGTGTGTGTGTGTGTGTGTGTGTGTGTGTGTGTGTGTGTGTGTGTGAGCGCGTGCGTGCACATGCATGGACACGCATGCACGCCTGCTAGTGCTGGTGCTTGAACTCAGGGCCTTGGTACTGTCCTTGAGATTTTGTGCTCAAGGCTAGTGCTCTACCACTTGAGCCAGAGCTCCACTTCTAGCTTTTTGGTGATTAACTGGAGTTAAAAGTCTCACACACTTTCCTGCCTGTGCTAGCTTTGAACTGTGATCCTCTGATCTCAGCTTCCTGAGTAGCTAGAACTACAGGTACAGGCATGAGCCACAGGGGCCTGGTTCTTGCTGTTTTTTTTTTTTTTTTGGTCGGTCGTGGGGCTTGGACTCTGGGCCTGGGTGCTGTCCCTGATCTCTTCAGTTCAAGGCTAGAGCTCTACCATTTGAGCCTCAGCACCATTTCCTCTTGCTTCACTTTCTTCTGAATGTGCTTGCGCCACAGTCATCTTTCTTTGGCTTCTGGTTGTAGATAGGACAACAGTTGTGTGCCAGTACACTCAGCTGTCAGTTGACAGCTGTCAGCTGTCAGGAGTTCATGAATTTTTCTGCCCAGGCTGGCCTGGAACCACAAACCTCCCAATATCAAGGATCTAGAATTACAGGCTTGAGCCACTGGTGCCATGCATTAAGAAATGTTTATTATCCTGTTCTAGATTGAATATAAAATTGAATATAATTATTGTTTATTTTCTATAATGTCAGATTATTATTGAGATAAGGGTCTTGCTCCATAGTCTAGGCTGGCCTAAACTTGCTCTATAGCTCCAGTTGACTTCAAATTCCAGATTCTCCTGCTTCAACCTCTTAAAGGCTGGAATTATGGGCACTCACTGCCATAACCAGCTTTATTTTAGTTTTTTTTTTCATGCTTAATCCTTAGAATATAATGGCCTCCTGACTGACCAAGGCTGTTTATTCTTTCAGGAGCTACCAAGTTGCACCTGGATGATATGTACACACTCTCAGTTCTTTCTGAGAATGTCACTTAATGTTTTCCATTGAGCAATTCTTCAATATAATGAGACTGCTTTTTTTCAACTCTTCTGTCAAAACAACGTAGCTTAGCCTGCAGCTGGTGGCTTATACCTATAATCCTATCTACTCAGGAGGCTGAGATCTGAGGATTATGGTTTGAGGTCAGCCTGTTCAGGAAAATCTATGAGAGTTCAATTACAAATATATATATAGTTGTGGCTCACATGATAGAGCACTAGCCTTGAGCAAGAGAGAGAAAGGGGGAGGGCGAGGAGAGAGGAAGATGGGGGTAGAGGAGATGTGAGTGATATATCTTGATTTTCTTTACTGTTGAACACTAACATGTGTTGTTGGAGGGGAGAGAGAAGACCAACATCTGACCTCTGGAGTTTTAGATTCCTAGATTCAAACTCAAGAGAGAAAGTGTGAGAGCTGACTTCTGGTCCTCTGAAACTATCAATGTAATGTTGTTGCTATCAGAATGCAGGTTTTGGAGTTACAGTTGCATTCAGATCCTAACTCTGTCATTTATTAGAGTGTGGTGACTATCAAAAACACTCTGTGATGTATTTCTTCATTTGTACAATGAAGGTTATAATAGTATCATCTGTTGTACAATCTAAGGCACATAATAAGAACTTAGTTAAATGTTAGCTGGCTGGGTTTGTCCTTTTTATTTGTCTATCTCCACCTTCTGGCATATTCAATAAATAATTATTGAATGAATTTTGTAAGCCTGTTCTTTAATATTTTTCCTACCTTCCTATTAGGAAGGCAGATATAGTCTTTATTTCGAAAACTGTAATTATAGTTAAACTGTTCAAGCAATTGTCCTTGAAATGATAAGAAATAATAACTAAGCAGAAATTGACCTAGCTAAAGTACAGGAAGTTACTCTGAGGGTATTGCTACCTTCTAAGAAATTATTAAACTATGCCACAACTATTGGCATTTTTCATATATATATATAATATATAGGAGAATATTAAACTAGAAATCTAGTCCCTACTGATTAACTCAGTGTCTTCAGTTAAATAATTCAAATAATATTTTTCTGCTTTTATTGTCCTTGTTTCTAACATTAGGTAGATTAGATAATACCTTAATTTCCTTCTAACTATAAAAGTATGCATTTCTATGACTAACAACATTAATGATACATATATACATTTATTTAGGGGCAATAACTGACATTCCCAGAAGCCATAGCATTTTTGGTGACAACATATTACTGAACTCCAGTGGTCCTTTAGTTGAACATAATTCTGGAAGCCTCACTGGAGAAAAATCTTTTATTTATGACAATGGAGATGGATTTGGAGATGAAGGAAGTGCAGGAGAAATGATCGGTATGCAATTGGTCATATAGAAATCAAATCTTTATTTCAAATTTCTACAATATTTTAGTGGATTATTACATCAAAACAGATGTTTGTATATCATGTAGGTTAACTACTTTTTTACACAAGTTTTCAAGTCTGTGGTATATGTAGGCCTGATAAATAATCATGTGCTTAAACACATTCTCCATATAGGTTGGGAATTACTGCTTCCTTTTATTTTTACAAATACCTAAGTTTTTGGAGGGGAAAAATAAGACTACTATATCCCTTCTTTAATACCAACTGTGGGATCTTTCTGGTATTATATATTATCTGAAGGAACTTTTCTGGTATTTTATATTATCATTTTTATATTTGTCTAATACTAGTGTAAAATCTTAGAAATGAGGTAGACACAACTGGGGAAATTAAATGTACATAGCTTAAAGATTGTTAACTGTTTATATCGAATGTATTTTTAGTATTGACCCTGAGCAAAAAAGCCAAGCAAGTGTCTGAGGTCCTAAATTCAAAGCCTGGTGTTAACATGAGAGATATATATGCACATATATATGCACACGTACATATACACACATACATATTAATATATATATATACATAATATATAATTTCTAGTTTGTATTAAAAGTTTGGTTATCCCTTTACAATGACTTGCATAAAGTAATGTTAAAAAATGTTTAGTGACCAAATGAAATATTCCAGTCTATGACAAAGGTATTTATTGTGTTTTTCAAGACAACATATTACGAGGCAGTGAGAATAACCTGTTAGAAGAGATGAATTGGAATGAAGAAGTTTTACCAACTTCTGAGTCTCAGGGTAATATACTGAGTATGTTGAGATTTTTTGTGTGTATTGAACGTGAAATGATACTAATAGTCAAATGAAACCTAAGAACTTATGAATTTAAGTAGCAACATAGTATAGTGAAAGATAATAAAGAACATTGTTTCTCAAACTCAGTCTCTTAAAGACAATATAAAATTGAAAGTTAAGTGTGAGAAAGGTACAATAAAGGGTATTTAGGCATCATTGGGTTTCATATAAGAGTACATTTAAATATTCAGCCAAAATACAATTATTTCAAATCCTAAAAGTAACATATGCTATATGGTAAGAAAAATTATATGTTGCATTTGTCAATCTACTACAATTTGAGAGAAGTTGCAAATGTGATGATATTTGCCTTACTAGAATTTCCCTAGAAATTCTTACTAAAGTGTTTCAGATGAAATGAGGTCTTTTAGGTTGATTTTTCTTAAGAATTAAAAGCATAATTATAAAGTATAATTAGCCAAATTTTGAGTTTTCACAATTTTTGATGTTATATTTCTTTTTGACACAATAAAAATTGAAAATGTAAAAAGAGGCAAGATATGGATCTTGATGGACCAAGTGATTTAACAAAATATAAATATTCAAGAAGACATATTAAATTTATATGCATCATTTATTAAGGTTGCTCTACTGTTTGGTTTTTACTTCTATGATGACTATAGCCCAGTCTTAGATGTCTCATGTGTAAAAGAGAGTGGTTGACTACCTAAATACTATGGATCCCAATACCTGAGCCTCTCTACCCCTGTTTAATATATGATTCTAAGGATTAAGATTCAGCCCCAGTTGGCAACATAAATCTTCAATTAGTTTTCATTTTAATTTTCGTATAGTATTCTAGTTACAGCTTAATCGTATGATTTTATACTTTTATGGTGTCATTAATTAGTAGAACCAGATAATCCAGATGATATATATCTACCTAAAAATGAAAAAATGGATGAACCAACATCAAACGAAGAAGAAGAATTTATTCTTGCTCCAATTGATGTTTCAGGTCAGAGGTTTTCATGTTTTTATTTTTATCTTTGTTATACTACTATCTTATTTACTTTGAGATATGTGAAGGTATATGGAAGGTAGTCTAGTAATGGCATTTGTTATATGATAGGAGATGAATGTAAAGAAAGTTTGAGATCAGTCTTTCGTTATGTTCAGCCCTATTTCATGAATAGTTTGAGAAACTGAAAATTTTTAAACCAGGTCCAATTCAATAAATTATTACTCTGTATTGAACATAGGAATGAATAAGACATGATTCCTGACTTTAAAATGTTTCAGTCAAGGGCTGGGAAGGTGACTCAGTGGTTGAGTGTTTGCCTTGCATGCATGAGGCCCTGAGTTTGATTCCTCAGCACCACATAAGCAGAAAAAGCTGGAAGTGACGCTGTGGCTCAAGTGGTAGAGTACAAGCCTTGAGCTAAAACGCTCAGGGACATTGCCCAGGCACAGAGTTCAGGCCCCATGACCGGCAAATAAATAAATAAATAAATAAAAAGTTTCAGTCAACTATGTAACTCGAGAGTAGGGACAGGAGAAGGAAAGAAGGGGATAACAAAGGAAAGGGTAACATTGACCAAGAAGCATAATACTCACTACCTAACTTATGAAATTGTACAACTACACCATCATCATCATCATAAAAATTTTTAAAATCAAAAAAGATGTTTTGATCTATGCCAGGCATGGGACACATACCTGTAACCCCAGCACTATAGAGTCTGAAACTAGATAGCAAATTTGAAGTCAGCCTGGACTACATAGTGAAAAACAAAAAAGGTTCAATTTGATTAAGATAAATAGATGTGCAGAGTGTATATATATATATATATATATATATATATATATATATATATTATATATGTATGTATTATTGGAACATTTGGTTTTAAGTAGTATAAACTGATACAAATTTTAGTTTATACCGCAGGCCTGTAAGGAATAAAGTATTCAATTGCTTTCTTTACTGAATTCAACTTTAAGTCTTTAGTTCATAAGTCTGGTAGAGGGGGCTGGGAAGGTGGCTCAGTGGTAGAGCGCTTGCCTTGCATGCCTGAGGCCCTGGGTTCAATTCCTCAGCACCACATAGGCAAAAAGAAAAAAGCCGGAAGTGGTGCTGTGGCTCAAGTGGTGGAGCGCTAGCCTTGAGCTGAAGAGCTGAGGGACAGTGCCCAGGCCCAGAGTTCAAGCCCCACGACCGGATCCCCCCCCAAAAAAAGATAAGTCTGGTAGAAAAATCAATCTGCATAGCTTTATTATCTGCCCTGAGCTATGATAATACTAAAGTTTTGGGGAAAACAGAAGTATAAAGTGAGGATATAGAAATGAGCCCCTGGTTACCAGCCACACCAGTTATGAGTACAACTACAGTTTGTAGCCAGCCAACTTTCCTAGCTGCACAACCAGCTCCTTGAGGTCTTACTATGTTTTTCCAGAATTTTACTAAAATATATCAACAAGCAGGTTCCTGTTGCTCCTGGCTCCATCTGATCTAACATCTTCATCTGAGAAGTCTAATTCCTTCTCTTTTCTGCTTTACTAAAGAAAATCTTAAGCCAGGTACCAGTGGGTAACACTTATAATCCTGGGTTCTCAGAAGGCTAAGAACTTGAGGATTGCAGTTTGCAGCTAGTCTAGGCAAAAAAAAGTACGTGAGACTCCATCTCAAAAAAGTGGAGCTGGGGGATGGGAAGGTGGCTCAGTGGTAGAGCGCTTGCCTTGCATGTTAAGGCCCTGGGTTCGATTCCTCAGCACCACATAAGCAAAAAGAAAAAAGCCGGAAGTGGCACTGTGGCTCAAGTGGTAGAGCGCTAGCCTTGAGCTGAAGAGCTGAGGGACAGCGCCCAGGCCCAGAGTTCAGGTCCCATGACCGGACCCAAAAAAAAAAAAAAAAAAAAAAAAGTGGAGCTGGAGGCATGGCTTATGTGGTCAAGAGAGTTAAGCCATGAGCAAGCAAACCAAGTGAGTACCATGTCTTGACTTCTGCTCTCCTTTTACTGGTAAAATTCTCTAAGAGTTAAATTCCATGGACCTAGCTGCCTACTTTGAGTTTATATATGAATGTCAGTGGTAGAGGAAAATCATACTGGACAAATAAATATTAAGGTCTCAAGTATCCTCTTACATAGGCATTTAAAGGAACTTCTAGATAGGTTAACTTCCCTCTCTTAGTGTAGCCATGCTCAGTTTTCTACTTAGGAGGTCAGTAAAGTCCCCCCTATACACTTTGAAGCAACAGCTTTAAAAACATATCAGCTTTTGGCTGCTCAGGCACTCTACAAAATACTTGCAAAGTCTTTTCAAAGAATAGAAGAAAAATTTCTTTCCAATGAAACTCTGCAGGTGTTTGTGATACATATTTCTTAGATATGTAATGTCTAGTATATTACTATACAAAGCCCTACAATTTAACACAGGCTTATTTTTCCCTTTCTGTGGTACTGAGATTTGAACTCAGGGCCTCCAGCTTGCTAAGTCACACAGCCCTGGCTTTCACTATTACCTGCTCAGGTTTGCACCTGAGCTGCCACCTAACTATTTCTAGGCTTCTCATCATTGCTGAGATCACAGGTGCATGCCAGCACTCCAGCTTCCCTCTGTAGAAATGGAGTCTTGCAGACTTTTCTGCCCAGAGTATTTTGGAAATGAGATCCTCCCAATTTCAGCCTCTCATTTAGCTTGAGATGACAGGCATGGACCACTGCACCCAACTATGGTTTTAGAAGGGATCTCATGAATTTTTTTTCCCCTTGGCTGGCCTCAAGCTATTATCCTTCCATTCTCAGACACTCAAGTAGTTAGGATTACAGGTGTGAACCACGAGCACCCAGATTATGTCTCCCCTTCCCCTCCCCCCATATTCAGGTATTGCTGAGAAAAGGAAAAGCAAAAAAAGGAGACTGATCATAGATCCAGTCAAGGAGATCAGTAGCCAAGCTATGCATGAACAACTGAATTCTTTTACTGACACACTCATGGTTCTGGAACTTGCACCTCCTACACGGAAATTAATGATGTGGAAGAAGAAGGGAGGAGTGGATACACTTCTATCAACTGCTACCCAGGAATTGATTCATGAGGAGTTGAAAATGGTAATAGTTTCCATCCTTTTTACATGAGTGCAATGTTTGTTTACAAATAAATAAATCCATATTTACAACAATTCAAATGTAAAAAATTAATTTGCTAATATGTGTGTATGAATTATAGTTTTTACTTTATCATATATGCTTGTTTTTACTGTTTTGCTTTACTAGTACAAAAACAAACAAAAATGTATGTTTTTACAGTTGTTTTCAAAGTGCTTTCTGTCCTCTGTCCTTAAAATTGGAAGAAAAATTATACAGAAGGAGTCAGTAAGGAATGAAGTGAGAAGCCAAAACATAGGTGAGACTTCCTAATTCTGTTGCTGTGAAGAATTTTTTGGTATCCAAAATCTTATTTTATACTTAAAAATTAAAAGGGTTTCCAATTCCATATTTTCAATTATAAATACTAACTTTAATGAGTATTTGAACTTAAAATATTTATTTTTCTGCTTTTGGCATTAATTTTCACCTCCAAGTCTTCATTAATAAAATCAAACAACCAGGCATGGTGGTGTACCTATAATTCTAGCCACTTGAGAGGCAGAGATTGGGAAGATCATGGTTTAAGGCCATCCCAGGCAAAAAGTTAGCAAGACACTCATCCCTCAACAAACAATTGAGTATAGTAGTTCTTAACTGTAATACCAGCCAAAGGAGACATATGTAGAAAGATGATGGTGTAGACGGGCGCCCATAGCTCACTCCTGTAATCCTAGCTACTCAGGAGGCTGAGATCTGAGGATCATGGTTCAAAGCCAGTGCGAGCAGGAAAGTCCATGAGACTCTTAATCTCCATAAACCACCAGAAAACCCGGAAGTGGCACTGTGCCTCAAGGGGTAGAGCACTAGCCTTGAGCTAAAGAGCTGAGGGACAGCGCCCAGGCCCAGAGTTCAAGCCCCACAACTGACAAAAAAAAAAAAAAAGATCATGGTGTGAGGCCACCCTGGGAAAGAAGCATGAGTACTTCTTTTCAGACCCTATCTGGAAAAAATAACTAAAGTGAAAAGGGTTGGAGTTGTGGCTCAAATGGTAGTATCTGCTTAGCATGAGGCCATGAGTTCAATCCCAAGTGTCAAAAAGGTATATATTATATGTAATATTATTTATAATATGTATCAGTCATCATATATATCATTTATCATATGTTTGTAAACCATTTTTCTCTTTCTCATCTTCCCCAAAACAGTACTCAGAACTCCTCCAAAAAAGGAGAAAATATTTGTATCTAGAAGGATAATGTTTCACTTTAACACTACTAAAATAGAAAATCAGATAGGAGTAAGAAGAGTACTAAGTTAATACAATCAACCTGAGACATAAATATTGTCATCCAACTAGAGGATTCCAGGATTATTAATAATTACTGTTTATTGTTGTGACAATTATAAAGTTAAAACCAACTTATGAGATGAGTGAGTCTCCCTTCATAGTAACCTTTCCTGAAAGCATGAGAATATATTGAATATACCACAATGAACTTGACCTACCCATGTTGTTCCATGAGTATAATTGTGTGTGATTGAGTATGGAAGAGATTGTTGGCAGAGGATGGAGAATGGAGATGAGTCAGAGAAGGAAAAAAGAAGCCATAGGAAAGTTTGTGCACTAAGCCTATATTCTTGAATTCTAAGTTATCTGTCCAAAGTTTTATTAACAACTATATCCCAGTTCAATATGAAAGTTATGTTTTTTTTTAATATTCTTTACTCCCTTGATAATTTAGAAACCTTTACGATGAAAGAGCCAAATACACAGCAAGAATTAGATCACCTCCAGACATTGAAGGATGTGACTGATGAATGTAAGGGTGGCTCTCATGAGGATACCAATAAAAATATTAACTCTGAGGTAAGATAACCAGAGAATATTTAAAAAAGCAAAAACAATGGGGCTGGGAAGGTGGCTCAGTGGTAGAGCGCTTGCCTTGCATGCATGAGGTCCTAGGTTCGATTCCTCAGCACCACATAAGCAAAAAGAAAAAAAAGACGCAAGTGTCACTGTGGCTCAAGTGGTAGATAGAGCGCTAGCCTTGAGCTGAAGAGCTGAGGAACAGCGCCCAGGCCCAGAGTTCAGGCCCCATGACCGGACCCCCTCCCCCCAAAAATTAAATAAATAAATTTACCCATCTACCTCTAAAACAATATCTTTTAGACCTTTATATTTTGCTAATCTTTAATCTGAAAGACTATTTCAAAGTCTATGACAAACACAGAAATAATTAATTTTATTCAGAAATATAATTTTTGAAAGCATAGCTATTTAAACACATAGTTATAAACAATATGAAACAATATGATTTCAAATATTGTCTCAATTCTTACTTTATTAGCTGTATAAATGTAAACATTAGCCAAAAAAATATTAATGCTTTTCTAAAGTTAGTTCTGTCATCACTGTATTTTGGTAACTACCTAAGGAATTAAAGTTAACCCATACTATCTTTGGAGGAAAGACACTTTCACAGTGTAATGCACTGAATATTACTACAGTAGGTTACCAGAACTGTCTTCCTCATTTGGACTTGGACATTTCTTTAAACATACCTATTGAAATTGTGATTAGGCAATCTTTTTTTTTTTTTTTTGTCGGTCATGGGGCTTGAACTCTGGGCCTGGGCGCTGTCCCTCAGCTCTTCAGCTCAAGGCGAGCGCTCTACCACTTGAGTTACAGCGCCACTTCCGGTTTTCTGGTGGTTTATTGGAGATAGGAGTCTCACGGTTTCTCCTGCCCGGGCTGGCTTTGAACCTCGATTCTCAAATCTCAGCCTCCTGAGTAGCTAGGATTACAGGCGTGAGCCACCAGCGCCCGGCTTAGGCAATCTCTTTTTAGTTTATGATTTTTGGAAGGGAAGATGAGCACAGTTATCATAGACATATTAACAAAATATATTTTCCTATGTGCTTGATATGAAAAGAAGGAAAGAATCAATGTACCTGTTTTTTTAACCTTTACTCCTTTACCATATGCCTTGCTTTAATTTTTATTTTGTTGTCAAAATGATGAACAAATAAAATATATAGTGAAATATAGAAACACCATCAATTTTATTTTTTTGTTTTTTTTTGTTTTTGTTTTTGGGTCCGGTTGTGGGGCCTGAACTCTGGGCCTGGGCACTGTCCCTCAGCTCTTCAGCTCAAGGCTAGCACTCTACCACTTGAGCCACAGCGCCACTTCCGGCTTTTTTTCTTTTTTTTGCTTATGTGGTGCTGGGGAATTGAACCCAGCACCTCATGCAAGCGCTGTACCACTGAGCCACCTTCCCAGCCCAAACACCATCAATTTTAAAAGCCAGGAAAATTCTGATTAATCATTTTCAAATCTTCATAAAAACAGAATTTTATGTACAGAAACTGCAAATTTGAGAATATCCAAAATGTAGAAAATTCAGAGAATCAGGGAGAACATAATAAGGTCCCACAAATATAATTCTTTATATTCACTGAATGAATATAATTTGAAGTGGAAAAAAAAGAAATAGTGTTAAGGAAGCTCTTAATGAAGATCAGAGATAGTAACTGGGGAATGAAGCTTGAAGATAGGTTAAAGATGAAAGGTTAAAGATAGGCTGACAGCTGAGCCCCAGTGGCTCACATCTATTATCCTAGCTTCTTAGGAGATCTGAGAATTGAGATTCAGAGTCAGCCTAAGTAGACAGCCTAACTAGACTACGCCAACCCTAGGCATAAAAATCCATGAAATGCTTATCTCCAATTAACAAGCAAAAAGCATGGCTCAAGTGGTAGAATGCCAACCATTAGCACAAAAGCCAAGTGAGAGTGTAAGACCCTGGATTTAACTCCCAGTACCTCCCCCCCCCCCCCCACACACACACACAAAGGAGTCAACAGTTTATTTACAATGTAAACGAGATGATGAGGCATGGAGAATTTCTGGCTTTCTCTGTTTCCTTCTACCTTTATGTTTTTGCTCCCTCTAGAGGACAACATGGTGTCAGCAATAGCTCCAGCAATGTTGGCAGGTATCTTATCAGGGCCCTAGGTAGGATAGTAATATTCCTTCCCTCTCTCCTTGCTACTGCTCGCCCTCTGCAAGTCATTTTTCTTTGCTACCTAGTACTGGCTTAAAACTAAAGGTTGGGATCTGTGTCTAGAAAAAAATGCTGAAAAAAGGGCCATGACCTCAGCAGCACAGTAGAAACTTCTGACATGAGGCCTGCAGTAAAGAGGGAAATAGGAAGGAAAAGGATAGATAGCAAAGAAGTTCTTCATTGGGAAAGGCATATTTAACAAAAGGAGTATTTAAGCCAGGTACTGCCTACCTTGGATATCTCAAATAAAATTTTGAGAACTGAGCATTTATGTGATAAAAAGTCTTTAACATAATTAGATTGTTACAATCACCAGTATAATTATCTATTTTTCTCTAACTTCCCTTAGCAGGGTATTATTGAATTGGTTCCTCCAGCTGCTGAGGAATCATCTTCAATGAATGTCTTCTCAGTCCAAGAAAATTGTCCTTTTGAATTGGTAAACATGCATGTAGTCTTGAGGATTTTCTTTAAAGCTTTTTTCATACAATTTTGTATCTTACATAAAGTTCGGTTTTTAGAGCTGTCAGGTTCATTTCTAAATTTAAATTCATAATCTCAGCAGATATGTTTAGCTAGGTGTGGTAAATGCCTTTAATCCCAAAATTTAGGAAGATAGAACAAGAGGACTTTTGAGTTGAGGGAATATTTGTAAATAGCTTGATAAAACATGCAGAATTTCTCTGACATTTTTTATTTCCTAGTTTATTTTGAAACTTCAAATAATTTGAAAGGAAAGTGGGTATTTTTAATGCTGATTCAAAGGTAGTGATAAGTTTTTAAATGTCAAGAATCACTGTTTGAAGTTATCCTTATCTCTAAAAAAAAATGCTATAATAGGAGGATAAGCTAGGCATCTGGAGATTGACTTTATTTACTGAATAGAAACTCTAATTCCAGCACTCAAGAGACTTAAGTGTTTGAGGCCTACCTGGGCTGCATATGGAGAGTCTGTCTCAAACCAATCAACCAACCAACCAACCAACAAATCAGGACCAAGAAAATCATGCACAAAATACTGTAGATGTTTTTTCTCAGCATTTTATAGGATTAAGCTTTATATCTGTAGAAGATTTCTGAAAATCAAGGAAAAGAAAATGTTCTGTTCACAGGGCATGTGTTGATAGCAGTGATAGAAGTAAAATCTTGAGTCCAGGCCTGGGATGGTGCTCAGTGGTAGAACGCTTGCCTTGCATGCATGAGGCCCTGGGTTCGATTCCTCAGCACCACATAAACAAAAAGAAAAAAGCCACAAGTGGCGCTGTGGCTCAAGTGGTAGAACGCTAATCTTGAGGTGAAGAACTGAGGGACAGTGCCCAGGCCCAGAGTTCTGGCCCCACGACCAGACCCAAAAAACAAAACAAAACAAATCTTGAGTCCACTGACTCATTTTGTGTTTGTGAACTCCTTATTTCTCTGGTACTTGGCTCAGAGTACTAATGGCATTTTTAAGATTGTAAGGAATTTTAGAAAAAGTTCTTTAGTAAATAATAACCTACTTAGGACTGATGTTAATTTTTAAAGCACATTGTCTTTACAATGAGCTTCACAACCATGAAATTGTTTTTATATCCATGTAAATTGGGCTAAATTCTTTGGATAATCTAATAATAAGTAGCCTAAACATTTTACCTGAAATATCCTATCAGTTGAGGTAGGAGTTATGTGGTTCATTTCACTTTTCTCTTGCCTCCAGAGACACAATTTATTTTCATTCATGCAAACCACAATGGAGCACAAGTTCAGCCATTTCAACAATCCACTGGGCTTTCCACAGCAAAGATTCAGTTGTAGGATGTCCAGATCAAATGGACAGATAATAGCAAAATACACAAACTATTCTGAGCTCATATTTTTCCTGGTTAGTTGTGTCTTTTAGGCAAAGTTACACTTGCATGGATCTTTAACAAAGAGCTTTCTACAGAAATACCATTTAACAATATTTAATCACTAAATATGATTGAATGAATTTATTTTCTAAGGACAGATTAGAAGGAAATAGAAATAAATTGTGGTTTTAGAGAATTGGAAAACTTCAAAAGAAAAAAAAGACAATATTTTTGGATCAGTCTTTCTGGGATGTAACAAAAGATGTGTAGTAAAAGCAAGACCAAAAAAGTCAGTATAGCTGGTGAGAATAGGGGCCCAGCAGCTCCTGGATTCAGTCTAAGAGTCTTTGTATCCTCAAGTTATTTTAAATATCAGGAAGAACGATGGAGCTTTCTGAAATCACTTTGTTGAGGTCCGTGAAATTGAAATCACTTTGAAGAAATAGATCTGGGTTATGCATGAAGCTAGACAAACAGGCATGTGTTAAAGTACCACAAATGCTGTTGGGTGCTATGGTCAGAGCCACAGTAGGAAAAATGTTGTCTGTGCCACTTCTCTGTTCCCAAGCCTTTCTATGTCCTCCCCCCCCCCCCCCCCCCCCCCCCCCCCCCGCTCCCCCAGTTGGTTGTGGAGCTTGAACTCAGGGCCTGGGCTCAGTCCTTGAACCTCATTGTGCTCAAGGCTAGCGCTCTACCACTTGAGACACAGCACTACTTCTGGATTTTGAGTAGTTAATTGGAGATAAGAGTCTCACAGGACTTTTCTGGTCGGTTGTGGGGCCTGAACTCTGAGCCTGGGCACTGTCCCTCAGCTCTTCAGCTCAAGACTAGTGTTCTACCACTTGAGCCACAGCGCCACTTCCAGGTTTTTTCTGCTTATGTGGTGCTGAGACCCAGGGCCTCATGCATGCAAGGCAAGCACTCTACCACTGAGCCACCTTCCCAGCCCCTCACAGGGACTTTTCTGCCCAGGCTGGCTTCAGGACATGATCTTCAGATCTCAGCCTTCTGAGTAGCTAGGATTACAGGCATGAGCCACTGGTGCCCAGCTTATGTCTGTTCTTTTTATCAATACCTTCCTAAGCCCAATTTCTGTTCTTGGGCTTATAAGGTGTTAGTAGTAGATTAGAGTGAGTTCTTGTAAAGAGACTTCAACTTTGCTGGTTCAAATCTTGAGGTATTTCTGAAGACCAAAAACAATGACTCTATTCAGATAACTCTAATAGCAGGCAATGAGTTAACCTATTTTGGATAAGTCACCCTTGAAATATGAAGTTTCTAAACCAATTGTCATGGTACCTATTTTTAGATCTTTTTTTAGATCATATAACCTTTTCATTGTCTTGCTATTGGTCAAAGTTTAGCTCTGCAATTTTTATTATAATTCTTTTTTTTTTTTTTTGGTCCAGTCATGGGGTCTGAATTCTGGGCCTGGGCACTGTCCCTCAGCTCTTCAGCTCAAGGCTAGCCCTCTATCAGTTGAGCCACAGTGCCACTTCCAGCTTTTTTTCTTTTTGCTTATGTGGTGCTGGGGAATCAAACCCAGGGCCTCATGCAGGCAAGGCAAGCGCTCTACCACTGAGCCACCTTCCCAGCCCTGCAATTTTTATTATAATGTTACTATTTTTAAGTAGTTGTGCAAAGGGGTTATAATTCAACATGTCAGTTTACAAGTACAATGCGTCTTAACGTGTTATCCCTTTCATCATTTCTGTCATCTTTTCAGAACTTGGTATCATTAAGGTCAGATAAAAGCCTTTACAGTTTTCTACACTTTTATATTTACTGCTGTCAATTGGATTCAGATTGACTAAAAAGATAGTCCTAATTGAAAGTGGTTGTCTTTGCTAACTTTACTTCTCAAAATACACAAAGGCACAACATTTTGAGACTCATTACCAATAAAGACTGCAAAATCTCCTACTTTGGATTACTATATTAGAAGAGAGGGCATATGTACAATGTATTGATCTATATGTATATTACTTTTATTCTCTCTGTTCTCAGACTATAAACTATTTGGCAGGATTTCCACATTATAGTTATGTTTCTTGTTTCAGCTAACACTGAACTTTGGAAGTAGTAGACATTCCGTAAGATTTGCTTAAATGAAATATTTTATCAATCACACAGGAATTATTGGGCAGTGAAGAAATTATGGAGGAAGAGAGATGTAATCAAAGATCACACCAGATGTTAAATAAACTACAGGTAAGATGGTAGAAGTTATCAACTCTTCTTTTTAAAATGTTCCTCTGGGGCTGGGGAATGTGGCTTAGTGGTAGAGTGCTTGCCTAGCATGCATGAAGCCCTGGGCTCTGATTCCTCAGAACCACATAAACAGAAAAAGCAAGAAAGGGGCGCTGTAGCTCAAGTAGTAGAGTGCTAGCCCTGAGTAAAAGAAGCTCAGGGACAGTGCTCAGGTCCTGATTCAAGCCCCAGAATTGGCAAAAAAAAAGTTTCTCTGTACATCACCTGCATAATAACAATTTTTTAAATCCTAAGAAAATAAATAAAATTTTGACTTCATCACATATATTTATGAAAACAGAACAAGTTGTCTTATGTTTTGATTGAAGACAAATTCCACTAGAGTGAGGTGATTTTGAGTGATGTACCTACTGCTAAAATATACCATTTGATGGTAGCATATTCTAATACACTTCTAACTACATTTATGCTCCTAGTATCTATGTCCCATAATAATGATAACTCATTTTTAAATTTTAATTTGCATATTTACCATAACAACATATCCAATAGTACTATGCTAAAAGGCTGAAAAGATTGAAGTCTTTTAACCTTCCCTGCCTTCTCACTGAGTCCAATTTACCAGATGTAACTATATTAGACTGTTCCTTTTATTATTTATATCCAGATTCCTACCTGATATGTTTTTACTGCTTTTTTTTGGGGGGGGGGCATTGTGGGGCTTGAACTCTGGGCCTGGGCACTATCCCTGAGCTCTTTAGCTCAAGGTTAGCACTTCTACCACTTGAACCCACAGTGCTACTTCTGGTTTTCTGGTGGTTAATTAGGGATAAGAGTCTCATATACTTTCCTGCCAAGGCTGGCTTTGAACCGTGATCCTCCGATCTCAGGCTCCTGAGTAGCTAGGGTTACAGGCATGAGCCACTGGCACCCCGGGTGCCAATTAATAAAATTTAAGGCTGAACTATCAAGAAAGAGCAGTAGGTGGGGCACAGGCATGAGCCACCAGCACCCGGCCTTATCTGTTTTATCTAAGAACAAGACAAAAAAATGAATCAGAAGTTACATGTTAGGGCTTGTATGTAGGCTTACAGTCTTTAGAGTAAGTTAAATAGGCGGTGCCTTTTCTCTAGATACCTTTAGCTAAAAGGCTTCTCCTCCCCCTCTGCCCCCTAGAAGGGATGGTTTTCCCAGAGCAGTTATGAAATCTGCAGACCAGAATATATAAGCATAACACTAGTGGCTTAGGAACCAACAGGAGGTAAAACAGGCACTGTTCATCTTTCAGAGCAGGTGTGGAATGTTGCTCAATCCCCCAGTTTGTGATTCAATACTTCTTCCCTACTTACATAGCTGGTATTCTAAATCCAGAGCCTCAAGGATTGGTATCTTTGGAAAGAAACCTTCTTGCCTCCTGTCACATGCATAGTTGTCCCTGATTCTGTGAGGCTATAGAGTAGCTAAACATAGAGTCTAATTTCTCCCTAGACTCTTAAGGAATTCTGTTTTTAGGTTCACCTTTCATTCTTACCCATGACACTCTAATGTCTCCATTTCACGACCTTTTCCAAGGTTCTGTACCTCAAATTGGCTTTTTCTGTTGTTGTTGCCTTTTCCCTCCCTGTTGATATTTAGGTTTCAGCTTCTTTTAGTCATATCTTTCATTTTCTTTGTCTTTATCGCTTTTGTCACTTTTATTCACTGTAGGGTATTTCTGAAGGAAATAAATAATAAGCACATATGTTCAATCTCACGTATTTGTCCTGTCAGGGTTTTTCAAAAGAATTCTTGAAATTGGAAAACCTATCCCAGGGGAAATAGCCACTCAATCCACACTTGTCTCTTAAGGAAGGAAATAAGTGAAGCTTGGCTTATGTCATCTTTAGAGGTTGCCACATCTGAGATAAAGTACAACAAAATATTTTCATTAATTTAAGTATCAGGGACTTGTAAAAACTTGTAATGACATTTCCAAAAGTGTTTCTTAATAGGCATAGGGATATTGGCCAGTATCCCCCACCATATTTCTAACTAAAAAATTAATTCTGTAGAAATCTAAGTCCTAGTCCTCAAAAAAGGGGTTATCTTCTTCCACTATTGAATACCCTATTGTATCTCAGTTATTCATGTGCCATTCACAGGTACCATATGATGAATCCAGCATTTTTATAACCCGTACAAAGAAACTAGGGAGATGTTCACATAGTTACGATCTTATGCCACTGAAACTTCCAAATGGTTTTCTACATTTACTACTAAGGTTGTTTTATAGTCATTCTACCCCTAGTAGTTCCTTTAAGAGAAGAAGCCTGATGATAGGCTGGTCATTTTGGCTGTATTTGAAACCTGTCAAAGTCCTATGATTTTTTTTTCTCTCTACAAGTCTAGATTAATTGCAGTTTCCATAAGAGGCTTTTTTTTTTTTTTTGCCAGTTGTGGGGCTTGGGTGCTGTCCCTCAGCTTTTCAGCTCAAGGCAAGCAGTAATCACCACTTGAGCCACAGCGCCACTTTGTTTTTTCTGGTGGTTTATCGGAGATAAGAGTCTCACAGATTTCCTGCCTGGGCTGGCTTTCAACCGAGATCCTCATATCTCAGTAGCAAGGATTACAGGCATGAGCCGCTGGCGCCCAGCCATAAGAGGCGTTTTTAAACATTAATTTTTAAAAGACTTGCCTGTGGCTCATGCCTGTAATCCTAGCTACTCAGGAGGCTGAGATATGAGGATCCTGGTTAAAAACCAGCCTGGGCAGGAAAGTCTGTGAGACTCTTATCTCTAATAAAAACCACCAGAAAAACAGAAGTGACGCTGTGACTCAAGTGGTGAGTGCTTGCCTTGAGCCGAAGAGCTGAGGGACAGAACCCAGGCCCAGAGTTCAAGCCCTACTACCTACAAAAAAACAAAAAAAGACAACATTTGTATGGCACTTTATAAGTTTATAAATTCTTTGTAAATTTATGTAACACTTTAGAATTATTTTGCATACATTTTCTCAATGAACCGCATTATGCTTAATAATGACTGTGTTTTAAAAATAGGTTTATTAGAGTCATTTATCTTTCTCCTTTTGAGGATATCATAGTCACTTATCAAAAATTTCAGTATTTTGTTGTTGATCATGAACTGATAACCTGCTTTACTTCTAATGTTCCCCCCCCCTCTTTTATTTTCCTTTCTTCTTTTCTATTTTCCCAGGAATCTAACAAGAAGGGAATGCAGTCCTTTAGTTTGATGGAGCTCTGCAAAAACAGTGACCGGAAACAAGCAGCTGCCAAATTTTATAGCTTTCTTGTCTTAAAAAAACAACAGGCTATTGAGCTGAGCCAGAGTGCTCCCTATGCTGATATTATAGCAACAGTGGGACCAAGGTTCCATGACCTGTAAAGTAAATCCAGAACATTCAGGCTTATGTTATCACTAGTACTTCTATTTAGATTGTTCAGTTTAATGCAGAAGAGACAAGGAAGTGGCTGAAGGTCTTATCTATTTCTCAGATAGGGTGATCTCCTATTCCCTCTTCGTAAAGTCAGAATAATCATAGCCAGAATTGGAAACCTGCATGATTACAGAAATAATCATAGTTAAGCATTGTTTTTAATTTAGCTTACTTTAATGTATAAGTATCATTTCCTTGAGTTGAACGTTGTGTTTAAGTTTAGAATATATTGTAAGAATAAGATATACCTCTGAGAAACACTTAAGGAGTTTTTCAAAACCTATATTATAAATACAAATAAAGTTGCTATTAACATTGTTGGAAAAGTTTTTGTGTAAATATTTTTATCTTCCCTGGGTATAGAGGTAGAACTGGTAAGTCACATAATTTATGTTTAACTTTGATAAACCATCAAGCTGTTTTCTTTTTTTTTGGGGTCCGGTCATGGGGCCTGAACTCTGGGCCTGGGCACTGTCCCTCAGCTCTTCAGCTCAAGGCTAGCGCTCTACCACTTGAGCCACAGCGCTTCTTCCAGCTTTTTTTCTTTTTGCTTATGTGGTGCTAAGGAATTGAACCCAGGGCCTCAGGCATGCAAGGCAAGCACTCTACCACTGAGCCACCTTCCCAGCCCCTATCAAGCTGATGTTTGTTTTTTTTTTTAATCAAGCTGTTTTCTAAAGAGCTGCCCCATTTCACATTTCCACCAACAATGAATCTCAGAGTTCCAACTTCTCTTTGTCCTTGCCGACAGTTGTTATTGTCCATTTTTTTATTGTAGTCATACTAGTGAGTGAATTTGATTGTTGTTTTTGAATGATCAGGAAATGAGTATATTTCCTATCTAGCATTGTTACCTCCTCCTTTGTTTTTCCGCTACCATCTCTTCCCCAACTCCCCCTCCCCTGCCAAAGTTGTAAAGTTCATTTTCAACAGTGTCTTGTACATCTCATTGTTACAATGGGTCAACCTATATCCTTATTTATGCATTTTGTTATTTCCCTTCCCCTCCCCAAATTAGAAAAATGTATATATAAGATGCAGAGCACCAGAATCAAATATAGTGAAAACAGAGGTTATACCATGGGGGAAGAACATACGAAAGAAACAAAAAAAAAAATCACATAGTACATTATAAATACATTAAAAACAATAGCAAGAAAGAAAAGACCATTTGTATCCCTATCTTGGGGTTCATTTCACTTAACATCATCTTATAGCATCATATGAACATAGCTTTTGACCTTTTCTGCTTGTCCTAGACATACAGTAGTTATTGCAAATAAGGGAAACCATGGGACCTATGTTTCTTTGGGTCTGGCTTACTTCACTTAATATAATTTTTTCCAAGTCTTTCCATTTCCTAACAAATGGGCGATATTATTCTTTCTGATGGAGGCATAGAATTCCAGTGTGTGTGTGTGTGTGTGTGTGTGTGTGTATACTTATGTATATCACATTTTCTTGATCCATTCATCTACTGAGGGGCATATGCATTGGTTCCATATCTTAGCTATGGTAAATAATGTTGTGATAAACATAGTTGTGCTGGTAGCTTTAGTGTAGTCTTGTTTGTGATTGTTTGGGTAAATGCCCAAAAGTGGGATTGCTGGTTCACAGGGGAGCTCTATGTGGAGTTTTTTGAGGAACCTCCATACTGCTTTCCAAAGTGGTTGAACAAGTTTACACTCCCACCAACAATGTAGTAGGGTTCCCTTTTGGCCATATCCCCTCCAACTTCTGTTGTTATTTGTTGATTTTTTTGATTATAGCCATTCTAACTGGGGTGAAGTGGAATCTCAATGTTGTCTTTCTTGATTTGTATTTCTTTTATGGCTATAGAAGTTGAGCATTTCTTCATGTGTCTATTGGTAATTCTTATTTCCTCTTCAGAGAAGTTTCTCTTTAAGTCTTTAGCCCACGCACGTATTTATCAGGCAGTTGTTTGAGGATTTGTTGTTGGAAGATTTAATTTTTTGAGTTCTAAGTATATTTTAGATATGAGACCCTTGTCCATTGTATGGCTAGTGAAGATCTTCTCCCAATCCACGAGCTTTCTTCTATTGATCTTGCTAATTATGTCCTGGTAAGGATTTTTGTATCCATGCTTTTTTTTTTTTTTTTTGGTCCGTCATGGGGCTTGAACTCTGGGCCTGGGCGCTGTCCCTCAGCTCTTAGCTCAAGGCAAGCGCTCTACCACTTGAGCTACAGCGCCACTTCCAGTTTTCTGGTGGTTTATTGGAGATAGGAGTCTCACGGTCTCTCCTGCCCGGGTTGGCTTTGAACTGCGATCCTCAGATCTCAGCATCCTGAGTAGCTAGGATTACAGGCGTGAGCCACCAGCGCCTGGCTTGTATCCATGCTTTAAGAGATATTAGTGTCTATCTTTTCTGATTTTTGTGTTAGAATAATATTGACTTTATAAAATAACTTGAAATGTGTTTCCCATTCTTACCTGGAAAATTCCATAGATCTTTTTTTATTATTTATTCTTTAAAAGTTTAGTATAATTTATACCACATAAGCATCTAGATCTAGAAATTTTTATGCTTAAGGGCTTAAAAGTATTAAGATTTTACAATGGCTTTCTGTATGCCAACAATGAGAAAAGTGTGGCTGAAATTAGGAAAGCAACTCCATTTGTAATAGCCCCACAAAAAATAAAATACCTAGGAATTAACTAAAGAAGTGAAGGACCTCTATGATGAAAACTTTAAAATCTTGAAAAAGGAAATCAACACAGAACTAAAAAAATGGCAAAGCCTCCCATGCTCCTGGATTGGAAAGATTAACATCGTGAAAATGGCAATACTTCCCAAGGCTATCTACAAATTCAACGCAATACCTATCAAAATTCCAACCTCATTCTTCAAGGAAATAGAAGAGGCAATCCAAAAATTCATATGGAACAATAAAAGACCCCGAATAGCAAAAGTGCTACTCAATGGAAAGAACACTGCTGGAGGAATATCAATACCAAATTTCAAACTCTACTACAAAGCCATAGTAATCAAAACAGCTTGGTATTGGCATAAGAACAGACCTCAGGACCAATGGAATAGAATTGAAAACCCAGAAATGAACCTACAGACCTATAGCCATCTAATCTTCGATAAGGGAGCTAAAACAATAGAATGGAAGAAAGACAGCCTCTTCAGTAAATGGTGCTAGCAAAATTGGTTAACTACATGTAGAAAACTAAAGCTAGATCCTTATATATCACCCTGCACCAGAATCAACTCCAAATGGATCAAAGACCTTGAAGTCAAAGCAGACACTCTGAAAACATTACAGGATGGAATAGGAGAAACCCTAGGTCTCCTTGGCTCAGACCAAAATTTTCTTAATAGAGACCCAGAAACACAACAAATCAAAGAAAGGTTGGACAAATGGGATTGCATAAAGTTGCAGAGCTTCTGCAGGGCAAATGACATAGCTAGCAAGATCAATAGAAAGCCCACGGATTGGGAGAAGATCTTTACTAGCCATACAACGGACAAGGGTCTCATATCTAAAATATACTTGGAACTCAAAAAATTAAACCCCCCAACAACAAATCCTCAAAGAAACAACTGCCCAATAAATAAGTGGGCGAAAGACTTAAAGAGAAACTTCTCTGAAGAAGAAAGAAGGATGGCCAATAGACACATGAAGAAATGTTCAACATCCCTAGCCATAAAAGAAATGCAAATCAAAGCCGGGCGCTGGTGGCTCACGCCTGTAATCCTAGCTACTCAGGAGGCTGAGATCTGAGGATCGCGGTTCAAAGCCAGCCCGGGCAGGAGAGACCGTGAGACTCCTATCTCCAATAAACCACCAGAAAACCGGAAGTGGCGCTGTAGCTCAAGTGGTAGAGCGCTCGCCTTGAGCTGAAGAGCTGAGGGACAGCGCCCAGGCCCAGAGTTCAAGCCCCACAACCGACAAAAAAAAAAAAGAAATGCAAATCAAAACAACATTGAGATATCACCTCACCCCAGTTAGAACGGCAAAAATCAAGAACTCTAACAACAACAGATGCTGGAGGGGATGTGGACAGAAAAGAACCTTACTTCATTGTTGGTGGGAATGTAAACTTGTTCAACCACTTTGGAAAGCAGTATGGAGGTTCCTCAAAAGACTTCACATAGAACTCCCCTATGACCCAGCAATCCCACTTTTGGGCATTTACCCAAATGTTTACAAACAAGACCACACTAAAGCTACCAGCACAACAATGTTTATTGCAGCATTATTTACCATAGCTAAGATATGGAACCAACCCAGATGCCCCTCAGTAGATGAATGGATCAAGAAAATGTGGTATATATACACAATGGAATTCTATGCCTCCATCAGAAAGAATGACATTGCCCCATTTGTTAGGAAATGGAAAAACTTGGAAAAAATTATATTAAGTGAAGTAAGCCAGGCCCAAAGAAACATAGGTCCCATGGTTTCCCTTATTTGCAATATCTAGTATGAGTCAAGCGGAAAAGGTCAGATAATGTGATGTCAGGAAAATGAACCCTTAGATATGTATTTTAATGTTTTTTTTCTTTCATGCATGTGTTTCTAACGCATTTATAAGATTATCTCTTTGTTGCTTTGTATGTCCCTCCCCTACAGTATAACCCCTGTTTTCACTATATTTGATGTCAGTATAACTTGTGGAGGAGATGGGGAAAAACCAGTTGTTTAAGGATACAGGTGGACCTGTTGCAACAATGAGAAGTACAAGTTGTCATGTCCAAAACGAGCTTTACAACGTCCGTGGGGGGTGGGGTGGGGGGAAGGAGAAGGATTGGGATTGGGGGGGAGGGGGGAGGCAGGGAAGGGATGTGAAGGGTAAACCAAAGGAGGAGGCTGCAATGCTTGGTAAGAAATGTACACATTATCCTGCCCATGTAATTGTAACCCCTCTGTACAGTATGTTCACAAATAAAATAAAATTAAATTAAAAAAAAAATAAAGCAGGGCTTGGAAAAAAAAAAGTATTAAGATTTTAATAGCTGTAAGAGTATCAGTTTTCTGTTTTATTTTGAGTGAGTTTGGTAGTTTCTGGTTTCAAGATCAAATTCATCTACCTTGGTTAGTTTATAGAATGTTAGTTGTTTCATGTATTCCCTTAAGTATCATTTTAATGTCTATAAAACCTGTAGTAATAATTCTTTCTTTCATTCCAGATATTACTAATTTATATCTTCTTTTATTTCAGTTGCTCTAAAGGCTAGAAATTTTATTGGTCTTTTCAAAGAACCATACTTTGGTCTGTGGATTTTTCTCTTTTGTTTTCCTGCTTTCGATTTCATTGATTTCTGCTTCTATATTCATTATTTCTTTCCTTTGGAGCTTGCTATACACTTATTTTGCTTTTATTTCTCTGGTTTTATTGAAATAGAAACTTAGATCATTGATTTGTTATCTCCCTTCTTTTCTAATATAAACACATAGTGCTATATATTTCCCTTCAAGCACTGCGTTAGCTCTACTGTACATTTTTGATATGTTGTATTTCTACTTTTATTCAATTATTTTCTAATTTGCCTTGGTACATGCTCTTTGACATGCAAAGTGTTTAGAAATGTGTTGTTTAGTTTTTGAGTGATTTTCTTGCTATTTTTCTGTAAAAAAAAAAAAAAATATATATATATATATAATTTATTTTTTGGTCATGGGGCTTGAACTCTGGGCCTGGGTGCTATCCCCCAGATTTTCAGCTCAAGGCGAGCACTCTACCACTTGAGCCACAGCCCCACTTCCAGTTTTCTGGTGGTTTATTAGAGATGAGTTTCACGGACTTTCCTGCCTCAGCTGGCTTTGAACTGCGATCTTCAGATATCAGCAGTGCCCCGCCTACATTTTCTATCTAATTCTGTTTTGCTCAAAGAACATATTTTAAATGATATTGATTCTTTTAACTTTTCATTTTATTAAATTTGTTCTGTCTTCTAAGATTTCTGATAAGAAATCACAATTGTTCCAATTACATTATTCCTATATAACAAGCACATCATTGTTCTCTGCTTTTTCAAGATTATTTTCTTGGTCTTTAGTTTTCAACAGTAACAAAATATTGCTTACGTCATTATTGTTAATTTGGTTTATCATCTTTGAAGCTCACCAGAAAGCTGGAACCTGAACTTTTAGCTGCTGTGCTCTGTTTTGATTCCTATTTCCAAAAACTATCTGCATAGAGAGCTAGGCAGTAAGAGGACCAAAAGAGACAAATACCAGCAACTGGGGTTGGAGACCTGGCTCAGTTGGTAGAGCACTAGCCAATGAGAAAAGGCAGCAGGTCCCGAGTTTAAGTCTTGGTCTCAGACCTTAAGAAAAGAAAAAATCAGCAATATTTACCCTCCCTCAGGAAGCTACTTTAATTGGAGAACTTTCTCGCCACCCACTCATGCCATGCCCTTGAGTTTTAGATTCCTATAGCTTCCTGCCATCACAGCCACTACTGCAGGGTTACCTTGGACCTGGTTTGTGAGAAAATAGAGAAAAGACTTAAAGAGAAAAGAAAAACTATCTCTCCCATTCACCGTAAGCATCAGAAGTCTCCTAATCTTTAAGCAAGACCTAGGCTCAGGGAGTGGGGTACAGGTAGTAATTGGGAACTTTCTCTGTAGATTGCCAGTTTAAGAATTTGTTCTGCTTTGAGACCAGGCTGGGAGTTATCAGAGGAAGTAAAAACGTTAAGTTCACCACTACTTCACCATTTCTTCAAATTCTGGCCTTCCGCCCTAATTTGCCTGTTATTTTCTCCTCAGAATCCTCAAGAATGTATTTTGTACTGGTTTTATTGCTACAATCAGTGGGAGGCAGGTGCTTACCTAGAACTGGAATGAAAACTGCTTTTGAAACTAAAAGAAACTTAAATTTATTTCCTAGGTAGTCCAAAACAAAATTACTGATTTCTTTGGATAATTTTATTTATGTTTATAATCCTCATTTGTTGTAATTTACATTATCACTAAACAGTCTGTTCTCCATCACTAGCTTTCTGATGCTCAGGAGAATTCTTTGCTGGCTAATACCATTCCAGATGGGAATAATGTGGGCGAAGAAGCTCTCTTGCTTTGGGAACATTCCTAGAGGAGATTTCTGGGAAATGTAGTCTTCTAACTACTACTCAAAATAAAACATGGGGGAGAAAAACACAAGAAAATTTTAACAACCTAAGAAATTTTCTCTGCTAAACATACAGTGATTACATGTATTCCTTTGGTTTTGCCTATAAAGAGAAGAAATAATTCAGGTGGGCATTTTGACACAGACAATTCATCAATTAACTTGCTAATATATCTTTAGGTTTTTGTAGGCCTCAACATTTCACATGGCCTTTTTAATCATTTCCAGTTCCTGGTACAATTGCTCTGACGTGTTTCTTCACAATGTATAATATAGTGATAGTTGATAGTCATCTGACAGGAAAATTCAACTTAATTGGATGTATGGGAAAAATATGTCAGAAGGCATATAGGCATTTGTTGGGAGGGAAGACTGTAAAGTAGAAATAGAAACATGGAAAAAGATGACTTTAAAAATAATAGGGGGGGCTGGAAAGGTGGCTCAGTGGTAGAGCGCATGCCTTGCATGCCAGAGGCCCTGGGTTCGATTCCTCAGCACCACATAAGCAAAAAGCCGGAAGTGGCGCTGTGGCTCAAGTGGTAGAGCGCTAGCCTTGAGCTGAAGAGCTGAGGGACAGCGCCCAGGCCCAGAGTTCAGGCCCCATGACTGGACCCAAAGAAAAAAAAAAAAAAAAGGAAATTCTAAATAATGTGTACATGTACATTATAAATATCTATTTCTCACTAGGACAATGTTGCAAAGTCAATGAAGTTACTTTTGAGGTTCTTGGTTCTCAGCTTGAATGACTGTAAAAGAGGAATGTTTTGATGGGGGAAGCTAAGTGGGAGGGGAGAGGAAAGAAGAAGGTAAGTGTGTGTGAATATGATAGAAGTACATTAAATATATGTATAAAAATAGCATAACATAGCCAAGTGATGGTGGCTCATGTCTGTAATTATAGCTGCTCAGGAAGCTAAAATCTGATGATCACAGTTCAAAGCCAGACCAGGCAGGAAAGTCCATGAGACTTTTCTCCAATTAAGCACCAGAAAACTGGAAGTAGAGCTGTGGCTCAAAGTGGTAGAGCGCTAGCCTTGAGCAGAAGGTCTCAAGGACAGTACCCTCACTCTGAATTCAAGCCCCACAACAGACAAAAAAAAAAGCATAACAAAACCCAGCAAAAAATTTAAAAAGGTAAGGAAGGGAGAATGGATAAATTTAATCAAAATACATTATACGTTCATAAATATCATGATGAAATCCCCTTGTACAATGAATTTATGTTTAAGTTTCTAAGAAAATCAACGGGGTGAGAGGAGAGGGTATGAGTTCAGCTTCGGCAAGAACAGACTTAATGATGAGCCTTCAGACAAAAGGACATCTAAGATGGTACCTGGCTAAGACTAGAGCCTGGCATAATGTACTTTGCTCATTCACTCAGCTGTTATTTATTGAGCACCTACTATATGTTAGGCTCTGTTCTAAGCCTCGGGACCATAGCCACATCACACCACACACACACAAAGTATCTATTCTAGTGAGATGATAAAACTCATAATAAATATACCATATGTTGGTAAGAGCGGGGGGGGAAGAAGAAATACCTATTTTATGCAGGTGATCTAGGAAGGCCTAGCTGAAGCCTAGCCCCCGGGGTAGGGGCGAAGGAGTGAGGCTGCAAACCGTGTGCATCCGGAGTGTTTTAGGCAGGGGGACAGCAAGTACGAAGGCCCCAGCCGAGGCCTCAGCCAGGAAGGCCGTGCGGGTGCAGGTAAAGCTGCGGAACAGGAGGTCAGATGGCAAAGGTGACAACAGCACCAGCTGATTCTGAGTTCACGAGAGCCCCACCCCACCTCCCTTCCGCACGTGGGCCAGGGAAGAACCCAGTCCCTGAAGCCTGACCTCCTGAACCAGAGCTGGAAGCGGACGGTGGCTCCCGGGTTCCCTCAGCCTAGCAGCCGGGAGACGGAGGGAGGCGGGGGGCGTCGCGAGCAAACACCTCAGCTCGCGACGGCTAAGTGTGTTGGTCCTGTCGTCCTAGTAATTCCCGCGTCGGCGGCGTCGGGGGCTCAGGCGCGGCCCGCCCGCCCGGGGCGCCCTGCGGTGCAGCCCTGCTTTGGGGAGGGGGGCGTACGTGTCTCTGCGAGCCGCCCCACATTCGGGACCCCCGGAGCGGCAGGGCCTGGCCGGGGCCGGGGTGTCGGCGGGCCAGGGCGCCTCCCGCCCCGCCCCGGAGTCCCCGCAGCAGCGCCCTCCGGAGGGCGATCAACTATCTCTTTAAGAAGGAAAGTGCGGCCCGGCGGCTTACGCAGCTGCCGGCGGCCGCCGACTGGCTGGGCGCCGGCATCCACCTCCCCGCCCCTCCCTCCTCCCTCCCGGCAGCCCCCGCCCCGGCGAGCGCCCGGCCAGCTCGCGGCCAGCCGCCAGCAGCGAGGGGCTCGGCGCGGCGCGGCGCGGCGGCCGTCCGGGGCCAGGGCAGCCAGCGCCATGGACGCCTTCGCAGGTGATGCCAGGGCCCCCGGGGGACCCGCGGGCCCGCCGCGCCCCGAGTCCGCGCGGGAAGGGGCGGCGGGGGCGGCGGGGGCCGCGGAGTTGCGGACCGCGGCCCCGCGCCCGCGCTCACCCGCCCGCGTCGGTCTCTCCCTCCTTCCCCACCGCCGCAGGTTGCTGAGCGCGGGGCCGGGCGGCTGCGGCTGCGGCGGCGACTGCAGAGGCGCTGCGCCAAGCCGGGCCGGAGTCGTGCGAGCCGGCGGGACTGCGGTGGGCGAGTGGACCCAGGTGAGGAGGCCGCGGCCGAGCGGGATGGGGCGGCGGGGGGGGGGGCCCGCGCCGCTCCCCGCCTCCGCCCGCCCCCGCCCGGCGACCCGGGCGTGGGGGGGGGGGGCTGGCGGACGCGCGCTGCGCCAGAACCTCAGGGGGGACCAGCCGAAGGGGGAATCCATCGTGACTCACGTCCCCCACCCTTCACTCCCCTGCATCCTCCACAGCACCCCCGCCCCCACCCCGCGCAGCCGCGAGATTCACCCGCGGGATGCTGCGGGATGCAGGCCAGACGCCCAAGGGTGGGCGGTTGGGGAGGGGGTGGTCTTCAGCAACTCCCCACTCCGCCCGACCCTCTTCTGGCCTTGGGCAGACACCGAAGCGTCCCGTGTCTGTTTTGAACACCCACACCCACCCCAAGGTCAAGTGCCAATGACTGTTTCCTTCCCATCTTCCCCTCTGGGATGCACCAGAGCCCTCCCTGCAGTAGATCCGGGAAGGGCGGGGGGGGGGGCAACACCCATTCCTCTAGAGTAGGACATCTGCCTTCCTGGAGCTTCCGCGGGGACCCCCTCCCCAGCAGAGAACCAGGCTGGCTTGCAACACCTGCTGGCCCGGGAAGCCCATATTCCCTGCCTCAGCCCTGCAGACTGAGGAGAGGCCTGATCACATGCCGCCTCCCTCCGTGGCCTTCGCTGCCCATCTGGTGGTGTGGGTTGGGAAGTAGGAGCTTCACAGAAGAAAAAAAAAAAAGATGGTCTCTGTGAGGAGGGTGTCAGAGATTTAACTTTAAGGCCCTTAACTAGCTAGTTGGTCACAGTAGCCATCTTACAGTTCTTTGGGCGTAGGTGTCTGTCTGCTGATTTATTAAAGGCAGGAATTGTAGGATTATAGAGTGCCACTTGGGCTGCTCTGACATGTTGTGGGGGGAGCCCCTCTCCTGAAACAACTTACGTTGAGGACCATGGAGTGATTGGGGGTTTCCTTGGTTGATGTCTGTCAACTCTGGACTTCTCAAGAGAAAACATTGACCTTGGCCTCATGGAACTCGAAGCACCTGTCGGTCCTGCTGTGGCATTCCAGAACTGTGGCATTACTCCTTGCTCTCAAGCTTGGACTTCTCCAGCTGTAAACCTGGGGAGGAGGGCTCTGCCTCAGAGGGTTGTCATGAGGGTTAAATGAGATATGTGAGGAAGCTCCTGAAATAGTGCCTGTGCCTGGCACCTAGTAAGCTCTCAGAGACTCAATACTTAGACAGAGAGACAGAGACAGACAGACTGACTGACTAGGGGGAGAGGCTGCTTTTAGTCCTCCCTTACCCTGCCAGTCTCTCCCACACCTCTGTGGAAGGTGTCCCTGCCAGAGAATAACAAACGCTGGACTGTGTTGAGCCACCAGGCCGAGGCAGCACCCAGGAGCTGCAAACATTGGCTGTGACATCATTTTAGGAAATGATGGTCGCAAGGACCATCATGTAGAGCCCAGCCCTGGGTTTGCACCCCCACTCCCCTCCCTGTGGCGTCTCCAAGGGCACAGAGGCATCCACATCTTGTGTGCTGCTAGGGAAGAAGGGACCAAGTCTTGCAAATTTTACATGAATCCCACTACAGCTCTCTTGGCCTCCCTGGAGCCCCTCGCTCCACTGTCCCTGAGACAAGGGAGTTAAGTTTTGGGTGCCCGTATTTCCTATTCATCTTCCTTCCTGCTGTCATTTTCAACCTACCGACCAGCTTTTTTTGTTCTAGTTTGTTCCACAGATACCTTCTGCCTTTTGAAGCAAGATAAAGGCTGCCCACAGGGTGGGGAGGAACATTTTGCTGCTGTATCATATAGGCCAAAAGGAATCATCATGTCCCCTGCTCTGTCCTAGATCCCCGTTAGACTGTGAGCGCCTCTCAGCAGAGGCCCAGGCGGCTCCTCTGTGTCTCTAGTCTCTGGCTCATGACTAGGGACAAAGTAAGTGCTTAGTAAGTGTTGAATTGAATATGGTAGGAGAGGTGGTAATCTCTAACCAGCCAGGTTGGGGAGAAAGTACAACGTATTTCTGCAGCAGGTGAGAGGACTGCGAAATATAGGGTACTGCACAGGTGTTGATTATCACAACTGCTACTGTCACTCGTACCATTACTCTGGCCATTGCCAGTGGTTGAAGAGTATTTTTCCAGCTCCTCTAAGCTTCCTGACGAGGGCCAGAAGAACCAGATGTGCCTGGGGGAAGGGGGTGCTGTTGGCAAGCAGGGGTCCAGATGGTGCTGGCTGATGTAAGATGAGACTGTGAAGGGATGAGGATTTGAGGAGTAGTTGCAGCCATTGCTGCATGAGCAGGAAGGGAGAAGGTCAGAAGAATCAAGTGAGCCAAATTAGACAGGCGGTAGAAAAGTCAGGAGACCTAGATCCCAGGCCCTCTTGCACCCCAGCCTCCTTGTATGACCTTGGGTCAATCAGGCCCAGCTTCCATGTCCTATTTTTATACGGAGGGGATTGGGGACGAGTTAATCCCTAAGGCCCCTTCTGGTTCTGGAATTTTGTCAAATAGATGTTTTAAAAGAAAGGTGGGCAACGCTTTATTACTCTTTGGATCATTTATGGAATCCTGGACCATTCTCTGTCCTCATAACAAACGATACCTATTTGAAAATAAGGAGACGGAGGCACAGAGAGTGAAAGGGATGAGCTCACGACTGCACAGCTGGAAGTGATGGAGCTGGGGCCTCTCCAGCTTAGGAAGCGCATGCGCTTCTAAAGCTTCCACCGACTGCCCACACAAACCATGCAGTCGTGAGCAGTATGTGTGCCCTTGTGCCCTGACACCGGGTTTTCAAGCCAGTAAGGGAATGAAGGATTCAAGATGAGAGAGCCAGCATTTTCCCAAAGCGACTGCTGCAGAGGACTGGCAGGGTTGAGCTGAAGAGTGTGTGAGTCAGAACTGCAGGGTTTTCACCAGGATCTCTGCTTGGCTGATGGGGAAATGGGTGCTTCTTTACCCAAGAGAATGGCTGGGTCCAAATGACAGTCCTGACAGACAGCTTTTGAGTGCTTCCTATGTGCTTGCTGTTTTGCGTGTTCTCAATCACGTACTTTTCAAGTCATTTTACAAGTGAAGAAGCCAGAGCAGGCAGGCCAAGAATTTTGTCCGGGGTTCTACAGCTAATGTATTCTAGATCTTAGAGGACGTATAGCTGGAGGCACATTGGATTGGAAGTCGGGGCATTGCTTCTCATCTGAGCCCTTCCATTGACTGGGTAACCTGGGGTGAGCCAGTGGCTCCATCCCTCTATTGGATTATATGTGACATTTTGATCTAAAAGGCCTCAATTGTGACCTTACGCCAATACTGGGGTGTAAGGGATTTCTGGTCTTGATGAACATGGCTCAGAATTTATTGTTTTCTAGCCAATAACATTCCATACTCTAGGCCAAGAGTACAGGATGTGGAGAGAGTAAGAAATGATCCCTAATTTTCACATCTAACAGAAGGAGAAAGATACCCAAACATGTAGGTTTTGAAAAGATGTCTAGGAGTTGTGTGGCATAGTGATCCAAGGGTACAGGGGAGCAGAAAGAAGGTGGGAGATGGTCTGTCCTCCTGATGGGTCTGACACCATGGCTATGGGAGTAGAATGCCATTATCATCTTATTTCTTGTGCTGATTGCTGGAAATAATAATAATGCTTACAACAGGATTCTACATAGCTTGACGTTTACAAACAGTGCTAGAGACCGATTGGTTCTAGTTCCTCACAGCTCAGAAGATGGCCAGACAATAGGAAGGACCATTCATTCCCACTCTGTGGCAGCTTCAATTGAACTATCCATTCGTCCCAATTAGACCAAAAGCTTCTGTCCTTCAGACTTCTAGAAGCAAGACTTTGAAATTTCTGGTTGGAAAGCCCATCTGGTGTCTATAACCATCCAGTAGGCTTGGGGGTTTCTCCTTCTGGGTCCCGAACATTCCATCTATTAGAGTTGCAGCTCAGCCTGGAGAGGTGGGGACATTTACCCAGGACTAGTCGGCAGGTTTGGGATACCATGCTGTCTGGTGGGAGTTGCATGTCTGTACCACATGGGATATCTCTGGAGCTAGGCCACTATGGCCCGTGGGCCTTTTCTTATCTGCTGGACAGCTGGCACCAAGTAGAGGTTTGATGCGGGTTTGAGCTGAGGGCCCTGGTAGAGGAAGAAGCCTGTGTTCCCAGACTGCTTTGCATCTTTAATGGATGGGCATTTTTGAAGTGTTTGTCACATGCCCAGCACTGTCCTCTGGATAGAGGTGCTGAGCCAAACAAAAACCAGGAGAGTCTGGGATGCAGCCGGGTGCTGTGGAAAGAGCCAGCAATGAGGAGTCAGGAGACTTGTTCCTCACTCTGGCTCTGCCATGGACACACTGGGTAGCCTGGGGTGAGGGCCTTAGCCTTCCAGACCTGCTAAATGGACATCCATAAGGGCTTTTCAAAATCTGACACGCTAGCCATCCAGCAACACTTTCTTCTCTCTAGCTACTTCAGGGGGAGTGTAAGGGTAGACAAGGTACAGATAACTGTAACTTGAGAAAGAATGAGATACACGTAACAAACAGAAACAAAGCTCTGTGGATTTGCTGGAGAGGGAGGGCTTGGGAATGGCTTGACTCAAAAGCCACCTCTTCAAAGACAGGATGATGGAAATACAGATAGATGGACTGCAGTGTGCTTTGAACCAGGAGCAGGAGGAGCAGCCTTCTGCTGCACGGAGCAGTAAGGATAGCAGTTCTGGACTTGATTCACAGAGATCGTACGTTTCGGAATCTAGCCTGAGTTGGCCAGTTTTCCATTTCTCTAGATAAGGTCATTTCAAATGGCATCTTGAGTTCTGTTTACTACTACATAGTAGGAGACAGAGCCTTTGAATGCCTCTAACTTCTAAATTAAAAACAAAACAAAAAAAAAGCTATCATGTCAGGACAAAAGGAACCACTTCAAATTGTATACAGTCTGCTCTTCGTTCTTTCTCGTTTTTACGGTGCTTGGGATTGAACTCAG